ATAAGTTGGGCCCCTCGTCGGTCGCCCCCCACCGTTGATGGCCGTTCTCGTCATCCACGGGCTGCCCCGACGCGAACTAAGTTGCTCGCCTTCGACCGATGGTCTTTCCCGAGCGACTCACAGCCGGGCCCAAGGCGCGACATGGTCCACAGACCGAGCGCCGCGCCAAGTCTTGGAACCGCTGCATCGCGCGTCCGAGCCCGGAGCGAGGCAAAGCCGTGACGTCAAAACTTCACGGCTTCGCTGCTCTTTGAACCGGTTAACTTTAGCTTAGCCGGCAGTGAAGCGGCAAAAGCACACTTCCAGCGATGGGCCCGACATTGAAAGAGAAGAGACGCCAGAAGAAGCTCGCTGCTGCACAAGCGGTCGCAAAGGAGGACAGCAGCAGCTCCGATAGCTCCGACAGCTCCGACGACGACAGCTCCGTCGCTGAGGCGGCGCCGCAGAAGCAGCCGCCGGCCGAAGCCGCCAAGGAGGAGTCGGCCGACGAGAGCGACAGCGACGACGACGAGCACGCACCCGCGCCGCAGCCGGAGAGCGACGACGAGCACGCACCCGCGCCGCAGCCGGAGAGCGACGACGACGACGGGCCGCGCGCGTTGGAACGGCCGCGCGCCTCCAAGGCGCAGGCGCACATCCGCACGGTCTTCGTCGGGAACCTGCCCTTCGCCGCCACCGAGGCGCCGCTCTGCGACCTCTTCTTCCCCGGCGGCGAGGGCGCGGAGCACGAGGAGACGGACGTGGAAGTCAAGCGCGACGTCGAGTCGGGCAAGAGCCGCGGCTTCGCTGTAGTGACGCTGCCGGACGCGGACGCCTGCCTGGCCTTCGTGGACAAGTGGGCCGACGCCGACTTCGAGGGCCGGAAGCTCGTCGTCCGCCTCGAGCGCAAGGGCGTCAAGGCGCGGCCCGGCAAGCCGAAGCGCCGCCGCGACGACGCGGACGCCTCGGAGCCGGCGCCCGGGGACGCCGCCGCGCCGCCGCGCAAGGCCCGGAAGCGCCGCTCGAAGAACATGTCCGACGCGCGCCGCGCGAAGAAGGAGGCGCGCGCGCAGCGCCTCGCCGAGGCCCGCGCGGCGGCGTAAGCGTGGTATCACCCAGTGCAACCAAAATAGGATCAGTCGGAACAATGCCGGACATTTAACTTTGAGCGCGACACTCCCGCTCGTTTACGCGCTTAAGCGGCCG